CTGATCAGGTGGTAGATAAACAGAAGAACCTCCACTAAACTCCCTATTCTCTTTCAGATTTTCTTTAATAAAAATGCAATAAAAATTTCTGGCGAAATAAGAAACCTGAACAGAACATAAGGCTTAATGATGGACTCGTTAATGCTGAACACCCATATGCATACCTTTTTAGTTGCATACTTTGGGTCTTCAGGAAGAACAAGGATGATTTTTCCATCCCAGAATTCTGCCACAACTCTCTCCTTCTTCCAGCCCTTCATGGAATGACAGGAAGATCAATAATCAGCAAAAATATTGCATATTTGCATTTCTGAATATTTAATAGTTCCTTCTTTTGTCCGGGTCTCAGTGGATCTGGAGCCTATTCTGGGAACACTGAGTGTGAGGCATGAATACACCCTGGAATACATCCTCACACACACAGACTGACTCATTCCCTCCTTGGGGCAATTTTAGCGTTGCCAATTCACCTACTTGCATGTTATTGGGAGGTAGGAGGAGCATGGAGAACCTGGTGGAACTCCATGGACACGGGGAGAACTCCATACCGACAATAACCAGAGTTCTGGATCGAGCTGGGGATGCTGGAAATCTGAGGCAGCAACGTTACCAATGTAACACCATGCTGACTTCCACAAAACCAACGTTAAGGTAATTAGAAAGCTATTATAAGGTTAGATTTACGCTCTCTGTGGATTTAGCTGTAGTGGTCTAGAACCGAGATTTTCTTCTGTTTAGTTGGTGGACACGGAGGCTTGCAGCACTACCTTTAACAGCTCTGTGCTGAGACTGTGTCCGTCTTATTTGTATGTAGCATTAAAGCATAAAGCATCAATTATTCAAGGCACATTTATTTCAGGCCTGCTGGCGACACGCGTGTTTCCTCACCACAAACTTGATGGTGTCGAGGAAGCGCTGGTGGAACTGTGTGTGCTGGAAGTTGTCCTCTGGACTGTCTGCACTGTACAGCATGCCACACGAATTACACATAGTGGCACCAAACTGCTTCTGGCCAGCATCCTGTAGGGAAGGAGAGGATCTTTCAGCTTACACAGCATAAATCTGCTGCTTTTCCCCCCCATTTACTTATAGTCACTTCAACTCACAATGATGAGCTGATCATCATCATTCTGCTTCTTCAGCTCCTTCTTCCTCCTGGAGCTCTTCTCCTTAACCAAGAGAGACGGCGTGCCAGCAGACGGAGTGCTGCAGTTCAGAGGCGAGGACAGACCACACTTCTTCTGAGACCTACAACAGAAAAATACTACATATTAACAAAGAGCATTAATCATAATCAGACTATGTGTGTATGTAGTGGATCTATCAGACATTTAATGTCATCTTGTAATGACCTTGATCAATAGTACAGTGTAGTTTTAGCATGCAACACTGAACACCACTCAGATTTCGACTCTGTGTTCAGGTTTCTATGTTGTGTTTGTAGGTTTTGCTTTGTTTACTCTTGTTTTCACTCACCTACGTGTCTTTTCATTGCTACATTACATGTAGCAATGAAGGTCTCACTACCTCATTTCCTTGTGCAATATCCATAATTATAATAAAGGTAACTTTGAGTTAAAACTACACAGTGAAATGTGTTCAGTCTGTCTGTGTTGGCATCAGTGTGTTGCCATAGAAACGACTAATTTCTGAGAACATGATCAGCTGCAAGTCTCATATGTTTTCTCATAATTAGTGTAATTTCAACATGACTTGGACTTTCTAATATTTGGATGGAGACACGTGCACTATGCTCTCATACACACTTTGACTTCCCGACAAACATGGTTTATTATTTACCTTCTGGAGCCAAAGATGGGGTACACGGCTGAGGTTTCTGAGAAGACAAGACACATCATGTCATTACTTGTAAAATTCAAACACTGTTTGTTTCGTTCATTTGTTTCCGAGCAGGTCTAACTTACCGTTATCTGAACAGCTGCTGTTGTTTGAGGTACTGATTTCCAGCACCGTATGTGAGCCAGAATTGTCAGGTGTGTCCTAAAAAGATTTTTTTTTCAAATATTTAAAGGAAAAACAGTTCAGACAAAATCGAGATGCACACAATTTGCCCTTCAACCAAAATGCAATGCAATCAATCAGCCAGGATGTTGGATTTTTTGCACTTAAGCTACAAAGTTAATGGAGCTTATAACACCCAGTTGGCACTGTTTCATGTGTGTCAAGGTTAAGCTGTGCCAGTTTTTATCTGATATCCTTTTGTCTATTTTTATAAATAATAACAGTTACACTAGTCTCACAGCTCCAATACAAAACTAACAAAGAACCGAGCTGTTCTTTCCCCAAATGAGCTCGGACATCACTATGAGAACCAGGACAGTGATATGAGACTTACCTGGTGATCTGTATTAGAGATTAAGGATTTGACTGGTGAATGAGGTTTCCTAATAACTGCCTTGTTAACCTCAGCGGTCTGTGAGAGACTGTGAGAGCTCAAGGGCTGAGGATGTGGTGTCTGTTCTGCGTCCTCAGAAGTACCACAGTCCCCGGGTTTAGACAGCAGTTGAGGATTCGCTTTAGGTTTGTGGATAAAAACAGCCTGGCGCACTGGAGCGTGATCTCTCTGCGCTGGAGCCACACTCTTCTCCGCTGCAGGTTTCTGAGAGGAGGCTTGTTTGGGCTTCGGTTTCGGAGCGTGAGGCTTGTACATGGACGCTGGCTTTTTCCCGGTGCCGAAGAAGGCAGCGCCGACGACGATCCTGGGTTTGTTTTTGGATTTCAAACTGCTGAACGTAATAGAGGTCTGCTTCTTCACCTCCACCGTGTTTGTGGATGAATCTGCTTTCGTGCTCCAGGTGGGTTTAGGTGCGAAGTAGCCCTTTAGGTTGGATTTCTGCGCTCTCGCTTTCTCCTTCTTTTTAGGCTTTTTGGTTTTGATGTTCCCTCCTGACGACACAGGAGCGCTCGGCTGATCTTGGTTTGAGGGAGGCGACTTGGTTTCCTTGAGCACCTTCCTTTCGAGCGGGGTGAGGTAAAGGGGCTTCTGCTTGCTGTAGAACGACCCTGCTCTGAGTGTGGCTTTGAAAGGAGACACTCTTTTAGGAGGAGACTCCAACGTGGAGGTGCGCGGCATCTTTCTCGGTGTACTGGGAGAGCGTGATGGGGAACGCATGCTTTCAGGGGAATTCAGCAGAGACGGGCAGTTCTCCTTCAGCCGAGCGGACGTTCTCTTTGAGTAACTCTCCTGTCTCAAGGATTTCTTCTTCGCTGGATTACTGTGAGGGAAAATATACAGCTTCAGTGGGATCAGGAAAAAAAAAAAAACAAGCAAAAACGATGTTTCTATAGGGTGTCTGAAAAATCAGGAACCAACGAGACCAAAAACTACATATACTTAATTTTGTATGTATTATTTACAACACATGATTTACATGTTTCACCTTTACGCTCTACACATTTTCTCAACTGCTGCATCACGTTTTTGCGGATTTTGCTCAACATATTCCCATTGGTTTGTGACTTTTCGGACACTGTGTAGATTAATAACATTATATGTGAGGGAAAAAAAGGGCACACACCTTTCAGCATTCGGAGAGCACTGTTTTCTCTTCTTTGATGTTCTGGTTGACATTTTCATGTCGCCTGAAGCAAGAAAGGGAATAAAACCAAAAACCTTTGACTTCGGTTGGCACTAAAAGCACTGGAGTAGAACAATATGAGCCCAATATTACAGTTATCAGGATATCACCATGCCTGCTTACAACTTACAAATTGTTAAAGATGACAAATCCGCACAACAGACGAGAAGAATGCATATGAAACTGTTTGAAGCAGGACTACCAGACACGATTTAGCCATAAACTGTATGTCTACTTTATTACTTTAACTTGACAAGTGCGTCTACTTTAAAGATAAACAGCAGTTCTGGCTGCAAGGTTTATATTAATGTACTTACTCTAACGTGTTCTCACTTCTATAGTATGAACTTACATGTGTTGGATGCGCCATACAGACAGATTTCTAACGTGTTTAATTGTTGATATGGTGACGTTTTCTGTAAGAAGTAGTTTATTTAACATCTTAGGAAGGAGTCTCCAGTGTCAGTGCTTTGTTACAGTTACCACTTCATCTCTGACTACAGTTTTCCAACATGGGATGAAGGGCTTTAAAGGTTGCGGTTTCTCAGTAACATGACAAGCTGTGTTTTTTTTTCCTCGTCTTATTAACTTTAAAAGATAAAAGAGAGAAGCTGGCTATGATACGACTGTTTAGAGCTGTTAAAGCATAAGTGATAACAGGTACTGACTTGTTTCAAGGAGAGTGCACAGCATTAAAGTAAATCTATATTAGATCATACCACCCGTCCTTGATTATTCTCCTATAACAGCACACCTTGTCCTGTTTTGTTCTGTACTTTTACTAAACAGTTTTTTTTCTTTTTAACTTCATTTCATGAAATTCAATTTTACTTGTCATAGGAAAAGACTTTCTTTGGAAGCAATATGATTTGCTCACACTGTTGTGTCTTTCTGTGCTGCTGTTAAAAAAAAAAAAAAAAAAAAAACATGCTGCTGTCTGCGAAGCCCATTCAGTTTTCCCATCATGAGTCAGGTTTAGCTTGTATACATATCTCTCACAACGGCTAGCTCAACTAAAGACTGACACAGGCACGCAGAAAGTCTTCCGTCTCTTGAAACTAGGTGTGTCAAACTGAAAGGAAGGGAAAAAAAAAAAAACGGGCCATAACGTAAGAGTATTCATTTTTTTTTTAAACATATTTCCTGTTCTATCGATTGACACTAATAACTGAGGCTCTGAAAGTAGAACAGGACGTTTATGGGACGAAGAACGGCTAACAGAAACTATTCCACTGTATGTACTAGGTGATAACTTTTCATCGAAAATGAAATCAACAATACATTTAATGTTTAGAAAGAGATTTAAGAAGAAACACACAGATTGTCTGTGCTATGTCATTAGTCTCAACATCTTTACAGACCCACTACACTACGGCTGTGAAATCTAATTTTCACTAGGAGCAGTCGTGGCTTAATGGTTAGAGAGTCGGACGTGTAACCCGAAGGTCGTGGGTTTGAGTCTCAGGATTGGCAGGGATTGGGATTCCACACTCAATACCACGACTGAGGTGAGACCCTTGAGCAAGGCACCGACTGTGTGCCTGTGTGTGTGCCTTTGTGTGTGTGTGTCCGCACTTGGATGGGCTGAATACAGAGCACAAATTCCGAGTATGGGTCACTTCACTTTCACTTAAATGTTACTTTTTCTAGGGTGAAAACGGTGAGTTTTACTATGTGAGGAATGTTACGGGTTTGTTTTTTTTATATTGGAAGCTCCTTAGATTTCTGTGGAACTTTACACACATTATATACATATAGGGGATTTGACAAGTATGACGTGTATGTGTATAATCAAGTGTCAACAAAGAAGCACTTCTCCAACTTTTGGTTTTTGGTGCATCGTTTCCAAGAATATAAGAATAAAAAAGGGGGAATCTACAGCACTATGGTACAACTGGGCGAATTAAATAAGTACATTCGTTGTATTTGGCTCATAGGCCGTGAGTTTGACCCCTGTGCTCTAAACCTATCCTTGTTTTTATTATGTTCAAATCTTTATAGGAAGCTGCTAGTGTTGGATTTGGCTAGTGCATTACAACAGTACAGCATTATATTTCCTGATCCCAGGAAACAGTCACCCATGAGAAAGACCAGGGAAGTTTAATCTGTCTCTCATCAAGAGCTTCTGAACTTCTCATTAATGTTTCTGAGATGGTTAAGATGAGGTGTTTGCTCAGGGGTTAAGACTTTTTTGGTTAAAGTGTGTTGGTTAGGATTTGAACTCTGATCACTAGTCTTAAATCAGATTCTGACAAACAAACAAACAAACAAATAAAAAAGTTCAGTGACCTGTTTGCTTCCTCTGCAGATGACCTGAAGCTGATGTGAAGAGGGAAAACTGACTCATGATGTCTTCTGCATGTATTTGGGTCATGTAAAGAAGCGTGAACTAAGCAGAAGTGCTGTTTTATTTATATATACATATATAAAATGAGTCATTGTGAAGCAGCTAGTTCACGTTACTTTAATTTAACGCTAGCTAGTTCACATTCGCCTTCAAACCACAGCACAAGTTTGACCGCGTTTTCTGTTCTGCGTCTCTACATGACTTAGTATTAATTCTGTAAAGATATTGATACTGATATAAAAGGCGGAGGAAGATATTTATCGCTGGAGACATCAGTTACAGACGCTGTTTTACTGTGAGGTAAAATGTTGTTAGGTTTAACTTTAGCTAGCGAGGTGGCTAACATTACGCGCGCGCGAATCACAACACCGGTCAGCTGTGTGTGTCTGTAAAAGTGTAAAGTTAATAACCTCACAAACACGGATTAAAAGTGTGTGTGTGTGTGTGTGAGGGACGCGGGGTGAGAACAATTATGCTAATAATAAAAAAAACACTTACTGAGATGATTCGCTGATTAAACTCGGTTCTGTTTAACTCTTAAACTCCTGTGTATCAGAGTCGCTCGTCTCTCACTCGCGCGCGCGCTGACAATTCTGCCTTTTGAACCGCGCGCCAAACTCAGCTTCTGCGCGAGCGCGTGTGCGTGATACGACTTCCGGTTTGCTTGGGGAGATCATTTCAGAATAAAAGTCCTAGTAGCCCAAACGGGAGAAAATATATATTGAAAAGTAAATGTAGACCCAAGTACAAGACAAATATGAATGAAAAGTAAACTATAACACTTTAAAACGACCAAAATGGAAAATTAAATCGCAAAAAGGATGAATAAAGTAAATACAATGTTGGACACTAGGAAGCTAAGAAACCAACACAGTGTAAGAAATACAAACTTATACATTCTTCCAGACGTTTAAATCTTTTAAGATCTGAAGTATCGAGTCTTCTGTTTTGTCCTGTCTTTTCATCTGTGGTTTTGTCTTTTACTGCTTTTGACTGTTTTATTCATTTGTTGAGTGCTTGATTTTATTGTGCAGCTTCTTTAAATGTGCAATGTAAATAAAGGTGACATTAAAATATTTTGCGATCAAAGTGCAAAATAAAACCTGGTAAAAAAAAAAAAAAAAAATATATATATATATATATATATATATATATATATATATATATATATATATATATACGTGTCGGAAAGCGTGTTCACTGGGAGCTCTTTTGACTTCAAGGAAATTGAAATGTAAAATAAAAAAAAGAAAACGTGGCGGAAATGACCTTTCCTTAGCACAGCTGATCTTTGATTAACTTCCGGTGTCAGTTTTGTCAGTGCGCGTAGCACGCTAGTTACTAGGTAATGTTGACCGCGTGCGTTTATTGTTTATTTTCACACCTGTTGTTTCTTTAATCTGAGAGTGTTTTCTTCAAGCGCCATAAACATGGTTTTCTACTTCACCAGCGCCGGTGAGTGCTCTTTTATATCTGAACTGAAGAGCTGGCGGGATCTGCTAGAGTTACAAACGCTATTTATCCACTCGTATTCGGATAAGTCCCGCCTCCTGTTGTACGATTGGCTAATGATAGCCGGTTCTGTGCTGCCATTGGCTAATGAAACTGTTCCGTTGGCGCGTTGCTCGGAGGAATGAATTAATAACCAATCAGAATTGAGGAGGCGGGATTTGTCGGAATATGGATAGGGAGAATTAACATAGGGTATAAAAATTTATGAAGTAACTGCTTATCTTAAAACAGGAAGAATTAAGATTATAGATTGTGTGTTTAATGACCGACACACACACTGTTGTTTTGGCTCATTTTTCTCATCATTTATTAAGTGATAAATCAAACACTTAATGGGTGTGCTGTTATAGGAAAATAATCAACAGTGGGGTGGTGTGATGCAACCCCAGAAGAAGCACTGTTACAGTCTCAACCTCAAAGCTAATTATTTTCATATAACTGCATGTCCTGAAGTGTTTTATTTCTCTTCTACCACACGGTATAAGTATGTTATAGTGAACATTTAACTGTGTAAGGAAGCAGGCTTTATAGTTTATGCTGAACGGGTTTTTTCATCTTGTTTGCAGTTGTCACACCACCCTATACCATCTACATGGGGAAAGATAAATATGAAAGTAAGTGCTCTTTCTCTCACATGAGCATTTGTGTTCTTCTTCTTAGATGGTTTTATTTTAGTGACAGCGATTTTCTTTTCTCAACAGACGAGGATCTCATAAAATACGGATGGCCTGAGGACATTTGGTAAGGAAACATGGTCTCAAGACTTTCCACTGAGTGCTAGAATTAAGAGAAAACACACTTTTATGTAAAGCACAGATGAACAAAATGCACTCCGATCTATAATTATTGGCACCCCTTAGGAAACACAGGAAAACATGATCATCCAGTGATTCAATCTTTCCACTCAGACAATTCGAGAAACAACTTACATTTGCCATTTTAAATTAAAGAACCATAAAATACTATTACACACAATCAGGGTCATAACAGAAAACTTTTCAAAAGTCTGTTGCAGTTGAAACAAACAAACAAAAAACCTCCAGGAGGCTAAAATCTTCACCAAGAGGATGAGCCCAAGCATACAACCAAATCAACATAGCAATAGTTTACTGAAACACAGAATTAATGTTTCTTGTGATGAATGTCTCAGTCTCTGGATTTAACTCAGATGAAAAAAATATGTGGTCTGAATTAAAGAGGAAGATGCCTTATCCAAGATTCTTCTACACATCTCTCCAAGTTTGTCAGACATATAGGGGAAAAAATAGGGGTGCCAATAATTTTGAAACCAGCGTTCCATAGGGAAAAATATAACATTTAAAATGGTTTTTGATTTAAAAAAAAAAAAAAAAAAAAGGGTAATAATGTTACTACCGTGT